ATATATACACACACACACACACACACACATATATATTGTTGAGAAAATGGACTTTTCTATTTAGGTAAAAGAGTTTTACATCTGATTAAAGGTATTCCAAGGAATCCCAATGAAGCAAAATCTTAAAAAATCTATTTGGGAGACTAGAGCACAAAACTCTCCCACTATTACAGCAATTTTTAGCCAACTAGTTTGTTGGTTAATTTCTTTCGCTGATTTAGTTAAGATGGAGATCTTCTTGATCCAATGGATGAGCTGCCATGGGATGTTGGAGTTCTTATGTAGGATCAAGATGAGTTTTAAGTCATCAGAGTCCATATGTATGTATTTGAACTGTGATGATATTGCTAGCTTCGGGCCCAGTAGACTACAGCAGATTCAGTCTCTAAGGCATTGGTTGGTAGCCACGGGTGATTGAAAGAATCAAAGACAATTTCCATTGTGATCTGTGCAAACACCTCCAATTAAAATAGCAGCTTGAGAGAAACTTCCATCAGTATTGATTTTAACCCATGGTTGAGCAGTTCTTCTCCATATCATTTTTTGTATTACAAGTGTCTTTGGTGAACCAACCTCCCAATAAGTTTGATGGAAAATTTTCCTGATTCTAGTTATATAAGAGATGCTATTGGTATAGATAGCAACCTCTGATACAGTCAAATTTTCATGTTTAGCTTTGTTTCTAGCCATTCATAAGAACCAGGTAAAGATTAGAGGGATGTATTGTTGTTGTTGTTCCTTCCAGCCATTCCAGCATTCTTCTATACTTACCCGATTGTAATCCATAGATCTCAACCTCAGAACTTCAAGGGTTTTAGTCCAAACAACTCTAGAAGTTTGGCAATTGATAATTAGGTGATTTAGGCTCTCCTGATAGCATAGGTGACACCTTGAAGCAGCTCTCATCCCCTTCAATTTCATGATGTTATTTGTTGGTAATAATCTTTCGAACAACTTCCAGCAGAAAACAGATATTGAAGTTGTTAACATTTAGTCCCAGATTAATTTGCCCCAGCTCACCTCTTGCCATCAGAACGTAGATCAGAAAATGAACTTGTTTATAGATTAGCTAGCAGGATTTTTCAGGATGATTCTATCTAAGTTTTCCCAGGTCTATTGAAATTGCTTGGATTTGATGAATAGTTTCCTAGTGTACCACTTGCCTGAGGAGTTCCACATCCCAAGTGTTGCCAGTCTAGAAGTCAGAAACTTTGTTGCTTGCTGCTGCACTATTATTGTCTATGTCACTGATTTTGCCATCCACCAACCATGTGTCAAGCCAGAAATTATCACCCTTTCCCACATCTCATATGAAGAGATGTTCAGCCTATTGTCTTACTTGTAGAAGCTTCTTCCAGTGTTTAGAATCCCCCAGTCTATGTTGAACCTTGCTAAGATGAGAATCTTTGTAGTACTTTACCCACGTGAATTTGGCCCATGATGAATTCTGAGCTCTAAATTTAATCCATTGCTTGCAGTAGAAAACATAGCTAATTTGTTGGAAGTTTTTAAAGCCCAGACCACACCTGCTTCCAAAGTTTTGCAAATTTTATTCTAGCTGGACTAGTGCATTTGTTTGTGCTGAGCCTCCCAAAGGAACTTGTTGAAAGTTGTTTCCAGCATTCTTTGTGTACTTTTCTTCATCTTCACCATTTGTAAGGTATAGAGAGGGAAGGAGGTGAGAATGCTTTTAAGAAGAGTGATTCTACCTCCATTGGACAGGAAATAGCTGGTCCAATAGTTTATTTGAGCTAACACCTTGTTCACCACCTCATCATATTGTATTTGTTTTCTTCTGCCTTTGATGAGTTGTACGCCCAAGTACTTGAGTAGGAGATCTTCTTGTTTGAATCCAGTAAATTCTTTGATCCAATTCTTTACATTGTTGCTTGTTTTATTGCTGGTTAGAATTTGCACTTGTCTTTGTTGAATCTCATGCCTACCATATCTTGGAAGCTATCTAGTAGTGCCATGGTTTTCCTCACAGCTTTGCAACCATTGGTGAACACAATTATATTATCAGGATAAGCAAGGTGGCTAACCATACAGTTGAACCTATGTTGGTATCTGATGTAGGGAATGGGCTTGATTAATCATTCTTGATGAGTAGTCAAATGCCAGAATGAAAATAGTTGGAGAGAGAGGATCCCTTGTTTGATGCCTCTCCCAGCTTCAAAGAATCCATAACATTCCCCATTGATGAGAATTTTATAATGAGCATTGGTTAGCCATCTATTGATGAGATT